GACTTTCTACAGGTGCCATTGCCCTAGAGTCAGTGTGGAAAGGTACTTGTCCATATAAGTGCACAAACACTGTACAATCATCCACATGCTTTGAACTTAACCGATGAGGATACTCTGAATCTGCCTTGAAGTCTAGTAGAAGGAGGGAGAGCTAGCATGGGCAGCTGGCCTAGCTACACTGCCAAGGTGCCAGTAGGTAACTGTCTATGAGCCACCTTCAAATTTCATTCCTTTCTGGTCCTTTTATGCTACAGATGCAATCATAGTCACTGACTGATAGCAGTCCTGGTTTGTGCCCAGACCGACCCACATCATTTCATGTACTGCAAGAAACCTGTGACACTAGTTATAGAGATGAGGACACTGAGGCTTGCAAAGGTTTAATGATGTGCAGAAGGTTACCAAATCAAGAAGTGTGAAAGCCAGGATTCACACTTGGGCTTGGCAGAGGCCCACATCCATTATCTTTTTCTTTTCCTTTAATCAGCACTCAGCTATAGGGATAATCACTGCTGTCTAGTCAATTCCTACTAAGGACTACAAGGTACTTATGATCCAACAATTTCAGTGTAAAAACTGCCAAGAGAACAAACAGATTTTCCTGGAGAAAGTAAAGCCAGCATGCTCCTTGTAAGGGAGGATGATGAAACTCTGTCTCACATACTTTGGGCATATTGTTAGGCGGGGCCAGTTCTTGAAGAAGGGCATCAAGCTTGGAGATATGGAGGGTCAGCATAAAAGAGGGAGACCTTCAACAAGATAGAGTGACACAGTGACTATACCAAAGGGCTCAATGGTGATGGAGATGGTATGGCACAAGAAGGGTGGGGTTCAGATTCGTTGTTCAGAGGGTCGCTATGAATAGCACTCATCTTGACAGCATTAAATAATAATGATGTCCTTATTAAACCAAGCTGCTCCTTGGAGGCAAGGATTCTGGGGCTTCGTCTGACATACTTTGGACATGTTGCCAGGAGGGACGGGTCCTTGGAGAGGGACATCATGCTTGGGAGGGTGGAGGGACAGCACAGGAGGGGAAGACCCTCTATGAGATGGATTGATTCGGTGGCTGGGGTAATCGGGATGGGTGTGTCAGAGGCGGTGCGGTTGGCGCAGGATAGAGCAGGGTTTGGAGCTGTTGTGCATAGGGTCGCTATGAGTCGGAAACGACTCGATGGCACATAACAACAACAACATGTTCTTATGTAATTGATGTTGCATGTCGCTGAACTGGAATCAACTCATAGCTGCCCCTATCATGTTTTCAGGGGCAGTAAATTAAATAGGAGGAGACTGCTCATCTTTATCATGGAACAGCTGGTGGATCTGAACTATATTCTTTTGGGCTGACAGTGCAACTCCTTACCACTAGGCCATCAGAGATATACGAGATACATGTCTTTTGGTCTTTATATGTACATGAAATAACCTTTTCATGATCTTCATATGTATGTAATTACAAAAATGTAATCCCAACCTACATATTATATTTTTATCCATTTGTTCTTGGATTTTTAAAAACATACATAAAGCCTATGAAGCAGTTAAATTTGTGTCTTCTAGGTTGCAACACC